ACTACTACTACCACTACGACGACGACGACGACGACGACGACTACGAACAAGTACTACTACTACTACTACTACTACTAGGATTACTACTACTACTACTACTACTACTACTACTCACTACTGCTACTGCTACTGCTACTGCTACTACTACTACTACTACTACTACTACTACTACTACTACTACTACTACTACTACTACTACTACTACTACTAAACTACTACTACTACTACTACTACTACTACTACTACTACTACTACTATGTAACCAGACACACTAAACAGAAACTACTACCACTGTTTTACAACAACAGCTACTACCACTACTACTACTACTACTACTACTAACCACTACGACTACTACTACTACTACTGACTACTACTACACTACAACAACCAACCACCACAAACTACTACTACTACGACTACTACTACTACTACTACTACTACTACTACTACTACTACTACTACTACTACGACTGCTACTGTTATTCCTACTACCACTACGACTACGACTACGACTACGACTACGACGACTACTACTATTACTACCGCTAACTACCATTATTACGACTACGACTACTACAACTACGACTACGAGTACGACTGTTTCTACTACGACTACTACTACTACTACTACTACTACTACTACTACTACCACTAGTATTAGTACTACTACTACTACTACTACTACTATTACTACTACTACTACTACTACTACTACTACTACTGCTGCTACTACTACTACTGTTACTACTATTGCTACTTCTATCACTACTTCTACGACTATTACTATTACTACGACTATTACAACGACTACTACTACTACTACTACTACTACTACTACTACTACTACGACTACTACGACGATTACTACCACTGGTACTACTATTACTACGACTCAGACTACGATTTCGACTACGACTACGACTACGACGGCTACTACGACTACTACTACTACTACTACTACTACTACTCCTACTACTACTACTACTACTACTACTACTACTACGACTACGACTACGACTCTTACTACTACTACCAGTACTACTACTACTACTACTACTACTACTACTACTACTACTACTACTACTACTACTACTACTACTACTACTACTACGACTACGACTACGACTACGACTACTACTACCACTACTAGTAATAGGAGGATCAACTTTGCATATTTTAGAACCGATGCACTTCGGTGCGGTTTTGCTTACGCTTCGGTGCCCTCTTGCTCATCTTAGCATAGTGCTCGTGCGCAGAGCAAAACTGAGACCAATTCCAACTCTAGCACGTATGCTGGCTTCCAGAACCTCTGCGTTGACATAGGAGGTGTCACTTGGTCTTCACAGTCGTCTTGGGCTTCTCTACAATTAAAATCCTAGTGTGAGGATATCCCAAGAAGGTTGGGATTGGGCCCACTTTGCTGTTGCACTGGTTGGGATTGGTCCCAGTTGGTTGGGATTGGGCCCAGTTGGTTGGGATTCGGCCCACATGCGGTTCAGACCCCCCCCCCTCCCCCCCTTTGCGCCGGAAAGGGAGCCGGGGAGGGGGGGCCTCTCTCGCTTCTCCTTTCTGCGCCAGAGAAGGTGTGTAGGGAGTGCGGAGTTGGGAGTAGGGGGTGGTGATTAGTGAGTAGTGAGTCAGTGCGTAGTAAGTAGTGAGTATTAGGTAGTGAGTAGTGGGTAGGGAATGGCGAGTAGGGAGTAGGGAGTAGGGAGTGGGGAGTAGTGAGTAGTGAGTAGTGAGTAGTGTGTATTGGTAAGTGAGTAGTGAGTGGCGAGTAGTGAGTAGGGGTAGTGGGTAGCGAGTATTGAGTAGTGAGTGCTGAGTAGGGATTAGGGAGTAATGAATAGTGGGTAGTGAGTAGTGGGTAGTGAGTAGTGGGTGGCGAGTAATGATTAGTGCGTAGTGAGTAGTGGGTAGTGCGTAGTGCGTAGTGAGTAGTGAGTAGTGAGTAGTGAGTAGTGAGTAGTGGGTAGCGAGTAGTGAGTAGTGAGTCGTGCGTACTGAGTACTGAGTACTGAGTATTACGTAGTGAGTAGTGGGTAGTGATGACTAGAAAGTAGTGGGTACTGGCAGCGGGTAGTGTGTAGTGAGTAGCGAGTAGGGAGTAGCGCGTAGTGAGTAGTGAGGAGCGAGTAGGGCGTAGTGAGTAGTGAGTAGCGAGTAGGGAGTAGTCAGTTAGTGAGTAGTGGGTAGTGATAGGTGAGTAACGACTAAGGAGTAGCGAGTAGGGAGTAGGGAGTAGGGAGTAGTGAGCACTGAGTGGTAAGAAGTGGGTAGCGACTAGTGGGTAGTGAGTAGCGATTAGTGAGTAGTGAGTAGTGGGTACTGAGTAGTGATTAGCGACTAGTGACCTGTGCCTAGTGACTAGAGACTACGTAGTGACTAGTGAGTAGGGAGTAGTGAGTAGTGAGTAGTGATTAGCGGGGAGTGAGTAGTGAATACTGAATAGCGAGTATTGGAGTAGCGAGTACTGAGTATTGAGTATTGTGTAGTCACTATTGTCTAGGGAATAGCGAGTAGTGGGTAGTGAGTAGTGATTTGTGGGCAGTAAGTAGTGAGTGAGTAGTGAATAGTGGGTAATGGTAATGAACAGTGATTAGTGAGTAGTGAGTAGTGAGTAGTGTTTAGTGAGTAGTCAGTATTGAGTAGTGGGTAGTGAGGAGTGCGTAGTGAGTTGTGAGTAAGGAGGAGGGAGTGGTGAATAGGGAGTAGTGAGTAGCGAGTAGTGGGTGGTGGGTAGTGAGTAGTGGATAGTGAGTAGTGAGTCGTGAGTAGAGAGTAGGTAGTGAGAAGTGAGTAGCGAATAGCGAGTAGTCAGTAGTGGGTAGTGAGTAATGAGTAGTGAGTACTTTTTGGGGCTGGAGTTCGTGGTTGGGGTCAGGGTTCGGGTTTTGGGTTTCGGGTGAGGTTTAGGGGTAGGGGTGGCGGGGGTCGGGTTCCGGAGTCAATGGGCGGCGTGGCGAAAGGGGGGGGGGGGGGCGGCCAAAGGAGGGAGGGAGGGGGGGGTCGGACCCCTCCCCCCTTTTTGAAAGGGGGGGCGGGGGGGGGCGCCGGTTCCCGACGACGGACCAGGAAAAGGGAGGGGGGGGGGGAGGGTCCCCGACAACGGATCGGGGAAGGGGGGGAGGGGGGGGGGTCCCCGACGACGGATAGGGAAAGGGGGGGGGGGATCCCACCCCCCCCACCCCTTGGGGAGATCCAGCGGCGCACCCTCAGTCTTTGGACGCCGGCTCGTGGTGTCGCCTGTGCCGACTCGGAGTGCGGTGCCGTGCGCACGTGGAGTGCCCCTGGCAGCTCTCTCGCAGCAGGGCGTTGTAAGCCTCGGAGGGCGCAGCCCCCGAGGACAGGAGAAGGGGCTCAGGAGGAGGAGGAGAGGAGGAGGAGGAGGAGGAGGAGGAGGAGGAGGAGGAGGAGGAGGAGGAGGAGGAGGAGGAGGAGGGAGCGAGGAGGAGGAGGAGGAGGAGGAGGAGGAGGAGGAGGAGGAGGGGAGGAGGAGGAGAGGAGGAGGAGGAGAGAGGAGGAGGAGGAGGAGGAGGAGGAGGAGGAGGAGGAGGAGGAGGAGGAGGAGGAGGAGGAGAAGGAGGAACAGAGGGGGCGCGCATCAAGAAACCATATGCTTTCCGTCGGGGTATCCTGGGTTTCTTCGCTCCTCGCGCTGCGCGGTGACCTCCCGCAGCCGTTGAGGGAGCTGCTGCGTTCAGGGTGCTCCGGGTTTTCCCTCAGGTGCACCTCGCGCACGGGTTCTCAGGGTCTGGTTTCTTGCGGGGGGTTCTTGCGGCCGCGCCCGCACTGTAGGCACGGGCACCACGAACCGTCGATCCCCAGGAACATATGGCAGAACAGAGGAAGCGTGGGAGGGAAGGCGAGCATCATGAAATGGAACACATGAAGCATGCGGGGAATCCTGGCATCTGTGTCCATACATTTGGGTGTCCCTGGGCCCCTTCAGGGGCTTCCATGTTGAGCTCGCCGTGTCCCAGGCCTCCCCAGTGGGGTCCGGCCAGGGTCGGAGGATCGCGCCGCATCGGCGATGCGGCGCGATCCCTCGACCCCATCTGCTCGGACCCAATCTTGGTGGCCTCTGACCGTTCAAAGTTCCACCCTGACTCCAGATCCGCCGTCCTTTGGCTGCTCTTCCTATAGCGAAGGCCCTACTGCCAGTGCCGCCGACCCTGAATGGGGACGACGACGACGACGGCGGCGACGTCGACGACGACGCTGACGCTCTGGAGCCCTTCGTGGGGTTCGCACCCCGCAACAGCAGATCAGGGAGAGGAGGATGCTTCCGAGGGGGGCTCTGGAGGGGAGCATAGGCACAGCCACAAACAATCGCCTATCTCTGGCGGCTCCTCTGACGACGCCTTCGCGAGGCATCCTGGACCATCGAACAAAAAAACTCACGTACGAAACCGATCATCTAGAACCATCTAGGACCGCCTAGGTCAATCCCTGCTGAGAAGTTGCAATCACTGACTCAAGACGTGGACGATATTCTGCTGTAGTGCGCGGCCCACCACTCAGCTATGGCGGGATGTGGCCTCGGATGCTAAGCGCTCCCCGCGCTGCAAGATTAGAGCCGCAGTTGCAATGGAACGGCCTGGTGCCGTTCCAATGCATCTTCGGCTGGACGACGATGGCGATAACGACGGCGACGAGGACGGCGACGGCGACGACGACGAGGCCTTCGCGAGGCACGAGCTCTGAGGGGGTGCCTCTCAGAGCCGCTGCGCGGCTCCAGGGCCCGCCGCCGCGCGAGAGCCCCGGGGCCGCCTCGCCCCGCGGGGGCGGCCTCGGCGCGCACGACGACGACGACGACGACGACGACGACGACGACGACGACGACGACGGCGACGACGACGACGACGACGGCAACGAGGACGACGGCGGCGATCAACGACGGCGACGACGACGACGGCGATAACGACGGCGACGACGGCGACAGCGATAAACGACGACGGCGACGACGGCGACGGCGCGCGCCGCGCCGGCGCGAGGTGTGGCGCCGCCTGGGCGGGCCCGGCTGCCCCACGCCCTCCAGCGCGGCCGCGCCCCCAGCAGGGCTCGAGCTCGCCGCTGCCTCCGCCGCCGCCGCCGCCGCTGACGACGACGACGACGACGACGACGACGACGACGACGACGACGACGACGGCGACGGCGACGGCGACGGCGACGGCGACGACGCGGCGAGCGCGGTAGGGAAGTGAGAAGGGGAAGAAAGGCCTTCTCAGAAGGCGGCGGGGCGTCTCAGAAGCCTTCTGGCCTTCCGAGAAGTTTTCTGTGTCTTCGGGGAAGGCTTGGAAGACTTCTCAGGAGGCCGGGGGACTTCCGTGCTCTCTGAGAAGGCCCGCCCCTTCTTAATTCCCCCCCTCGTTCGCCGCCGAGGCGAGGCATCGTTGCTTTTCGGACTGTTCTCCGCCAGCGCTTCGCTCCAGGAAAATATGAGCGGCCCGGTTGGGGCCATTTTCGGCTGCCCGGGGCCATCAACAGGCCTGGGACCGTCGAAAGACGATTCGATTCAGGATGACACATTGGTCCTTGGGAAGCTGCCCCACTCCCTCCAGCGCGGCTGCGCCCCCAGCAGGGCTCACTTCGACTCCTCCGATGCGATGAAATTCGAGGTCGATGGATTTTGATGTCCATCGACCTCGGAGGAGGAGGAGGAGGACGAGAAGCGAGGAAAGAGGAGGAGGAGGAGGAGGAGGAGGAGGAGGAGGAGGAGGATATAATTACGCACCATCTCACCAGCTCGTCTCCCCGAGCGTCCACCGAGCCCAAACAAAAAGGGTCGCTAGTGAGGGTGCAAAGATAGTCGTACGTCGTAGTTTGCGCGTCTCGGCTGGGACCAAAGAGTTGCTCTGCTCCGAGAGAGTTGCACGAGATCGCGAAGCTAACTGCATACCGCGGATCACGGGGCGCCTTGCGCGAAATCCGTTCGGTGACCTATCGTAGAAAGCTACCTACCGCGCTGCAGGTGCCAGCGTGCCTCCTCGAGGCTCCCCGACCGACGAAAACGACTGGGCATTTTGGCATGTCTGCAGGCGCGCGGCATTTCGCCCTGCATCGGATCCCGCGTTGTCGCTGTTCTTGCAGGCCCGCGCTCAGAAACAGACCAGTTGAACTGCATCTCGGTCGGCGCTGGGGGCGCGAAGCTAAGAGCATTTCACGGCCCCTCAGGCGTGCACTGTTGAACAAGGTTGTTCACAGCGATGTATCGCATCACCTCCGATATTGGGAGGTCGGCCTCTCCAGCAAGGCCTCCCGATATCGGAGGTGATGCGGCGGAGGAGGAGGAGGAGGCGGAGGAGGAGGGAGGAGGGAGGAGGGAGGAGGGGGAGGAGGAGGAGGAGGAGGAGGAGGGGAGGGAGAGGAGGAGGAGGAGGAAGGAGGGAGGAGGAGGAGGAGGAGGAGGAGGAGGAGGAGGAAGGAGGGAGAGGAGGAGGAGGAGGAGGAGGAGGAGGAGGAGGATGGAGGAGGAGGGAGGGAAGGGAGGGAGAGGGAGGGAGGGCGGGAGGGATGGAGGGAGGGAGGAGGAGGGAGGGAGGGAGGTAGAGGAGGGAGGGAGGGAGGGAGGGAGGGAGGGAGGGAGGAGGGAGGAGGGGGGAGGGGAGGGAGGGAAGGGAGGGAGGGAGGGAGGGCGGAGGGAGGGAGGAGATGAGAGGAGGAGGAGTAGGAGGAGGAGGAGGAGGGAGAAACGAGGTGCCGAAGCGAGGAGACGAGGGCAGCGAGGTGCCGAAGCGGCGGATGGGGCACCCGCGAGGAGGACGACGCGGGCGACGCTTCAGGGGGGGATTCCACGCCCCTCGCCCTGGGACGGGCCCCGCCGCCGCGGCGGGGCCCCGCTTCGAGCTCCTCCTCCCTCCTCCTACCCTCTCCTCCCTCTCCCTCCTCCTCCCTAATCCTCCTCCTCCTCCTCCTCCTCATCCTCCTTCGCCTCCCTCGGCTCCTCGGATCTCCGGAGCGCACGGGCCACAGGGGTGTCGACCTCGGAGAGAGGCCAGTTGATAAGGGCCCAGGGACACACAACACAAAAACTCGGAGGTCCGCGCGGATTTTCTCGGAATCGGCGCTGGACCGGGCGACGCGGAGCGCGCCGGGGGTGGCGCCGGAGGCGCCGCCAGGGGGCCCCAGCGCCGATCTGAGAAATCCGCGCGGATCTCCGAGTTGTTATGCTTATGCCATTATTCGTTCCCCTGGCCATACCTCGGCGCGACTCGTGAATCGCACCCCGGCCCCCGAGCGTCAGCGCCCCGAGCTCTTCTCGGCTGCACGCCCCGCGGAGCGAAGCGACACGCCAGCCGCGACACGCTCAACAAAAGTCTCCGACCCTAGAGGCCAAAGAGGAGGAGGAGGAGGAGGAGGAGGAGGAGGAGGAGGAGGCTTAGGAGCCCTCCTCTCCTCCTCCTCCTCTCCTCCTCCTCCTCCTTTTCCTCCTCCCCTCCTCCTCCTCTCCTTTTCCAACTCCTCCTCCTCCTCCTTTTCCAACTCCTCCTCCTCCTCCTCCTCCTCCTCCTCCTCCTCCTCCTCTTCCTCCTGTCCTCTGCCTGGGCTGTGGACCAAGAGGCCTCCTGGTTGCTTTTACGGGTCATTCCTTGCCCTGATTTCGGATCCTCCGCACCTTGGCAGATCTCCAACTCAGGATTGTGTCAGGAATGCGCCCAGCACGATGCGACAAAGTAGGGCATACATTTCCGCCTCGGATAATTAGCGCGGATCTGTCCGCGAAGGTGTGACGGAAACAGCGACGGCAAAGGGCGGACATCACATTGACATCGAAGGAGCTTGCAAGGTAGGGCGGACGTTTCGACCCTTTTTGCGAAATCGCCCAGAAGGATAGCGGATCCGAAGTCAGGGGGGGACCTTGAACCAGAGGCCTCCTGGTTACTTATCTGGCCCCGTCTTTGGGGGGCACTCGCGGGGGAAACTCTCGGGGGTCTCCTCGGTGAGGAGGAGGAGGAGGAGGCGGAGGAGGAGGAGGAGGTGGCGGATTGAGAAAGAGGAGGATGAGGGGGAGGATGAGGGCTGAGGAGGAGGAGGAGGAGGGCTGAGGAGGAGGAGGGCTGAGGAGGAGGAGGAGGAGGAGGCGGAGGAGGAGGAGCCCTCCTGGGCGCACGGCGAGGGCCGAGCGAGGGGCGCTGGGGGGAGCAGGCCTCCTGGCGCCTCCCTCGGCCGAGGCCCACGTGCGGCGCGTGCCAGCCAGGGACATGCGGCGGCGCTACACCAAGCGGGGGCCTCGGAGAGGACCCCGATCTGTCGAGCAGGGGGATGATGCTGATAATGATGAGGAGGAGGAGGGAGAAGAAGAAGGAGCAGGAGGAGGAGGCGGAGGAGGTGGGCCAGAAGGAGGAGGAGGAGGAGGAGGAGGAGGAGGAGGGCGGAGGAGGAGGGCGGAGGAGGAGGGCGGAGGAGGAGGAGGTTGAGGAGGAGGAGGAGGACCAGTGTAAACCCAAGAGTCATCAACGATGTTGGAATAAACCCTCCCTCCAAGCTCCCTCTCCATGGTTAATTTCCATTGAAGGAACTGCCTCTTTGGAGGACAATTGTTTGACGACCCTGGAGCATGCCAAAACATTGTTCTCGGGATTCCAACGCCACGGTTCAACCTGACTGTTGCGCCTTGACAATCCAGAATCGTGCCAGAACACTATTCCTGGGACTTCAACACAGCGACCAACATAATTGTTGCACCCGCGTAATCCTGAATCCGTTCAACACACCATTTCTGGCACGTTGCTAATAGGAGCCAATGGAACTCTTGCAACCTTTTCAAACAAAAAATGCGTGCCGCGCTAAGGCGAGAGTCACAGTTTGAAGAGGAACCGCCCTCAATCCGTGAAGCTCTTGCAAAGTGGAAGAACGAATGTGCGCCACGCTAGGGCGAAAGCCACATGTTGAAAACCAACCGCCCTCAATCCGTGAAACTCTTGCAACGTTTGAAGACGAATGTGCGCCGCGCTAAGGCGAGGGCCACATTTTGAACATCACACGCCCTCAATCCGTGCAGCTCTTGCAATTCTTCACGCTTCGCGTATCCCCACCAGTCTGCACCCCCCTCATTCGCAGATGTTCTCGGCGTGCAGCAGCTATCAAGTTACTTGTGTCTTGCGGCGGTTAGCTGCACCCCCCTTTCCACTGCAAAGGTGCTCTCCGCTGGTTGCATCCACCCCTGGACACACCAGGTGACTGGAGATGCCCCCCGGCTCTGCTGCGGGCTGGCCGCGGTGTGGGACGTCGCGCCTCCCGCCGCCTCGGCCCTGTGGGTGTCCCCCACTGTGCCTCAGGGGTTCGCCCGCGGCGGCCGTGGAGGCCATGTCGGAGGGCCCGTCGGACAGGCAGCGCTGAGGTCTCCCCCTCCACGAGCCGACCCACAGCGTTGTCCGCGGCTGGCTCGGTGGACCTCTCCGCGGCAGGACGGCACTGTGGTGCTTGGGCAGTCGCTGGCTTCCACCGGCACTGGGAGTTGTGTGCCCGAAGACTTTGCTCTGAGAGTGTTGCAG